TTTCTCTGAACTCTTCTCTCGATAAAAAGGATGCAGTAAACTACGTTCATGCTCCTCCTTTTATAGTCTGGGAAAACTCCTGTATTAGGTTTCACCAAATTAGAGACGTAGAAGGAATTCTTTTAAAAGATATGGAATAAGAGTCCATGCCTTATTACAATATTGTCATCCTAATCTAATGGGAATTCCCATGTAAACAAACAACCAATTAATGACAATAAAATATAAAAGATAATGATGGAAATCTTTTCCTTCTTAAAAATTCATACGCATAAGGACTATTGGATTGTCTTGATGCACAAAAACTCTTTTTAATTAATAAAGTTTCCTATATAAAAGAAACAATTAATGACAAATTAAAGAATTTTAAGTAAACAAGGAGACTTCCCTTTTGTGTTTCACGGTACATAGGACTTGTTGCACAAGTCTTTACTCATCCCTTGTTTATTAGAATCCAATTAGATTCTAACAGTATTCTAAACCTCCACGCATACTGTAGCTACCCCTCAGGTAACCCATCATTGAGTTTGATCTACGAGCACTGCCTAGTCGGCGAGATTCGGCTCAGATGCATTGGTTTTCGAGACTCAGCTCGGCAGACATTGGGTAGCGAGACTCAGCTCGGAGGACATTGGATCGGCGAGTTTCAGCTCGGCAGGCATTCGGTAGGCGAGCATAGGTTTGGCGAGGGATGGCTCAGCAGATCCAGGTTTTGCGAGATTCGATCTCGTCAGATGAGGTCGGCGAGACTTAGCTCGGTGGACATGGATCGACGAACACTGAGACGGGGTTGACTGATGCTTCTCTCATTTCTTCTCCCACCTCGGATTTGTCAAGCTCTTGACTCATTTGGACTCGTTTCATGCCTCGTGAATCTACTCTGATTTCTTTTTCTCTTTAGATTGTGGTCGACGTTAGAGAAGTATTTATTTCTACATTCCCCTCTTTGTACTTCATTGATTCATCAGATTTGGATTCCAAGCATAAGATTTGAGCCCTTTTCTTGGTTTCCCGTTAAAGAACTTTCCAAGAAATACATTGAACCGTTCTTCCTCGATCTTGCCGCTCATTATCTTCAACCTCATGGAGAAGATCCCAAAATTCAAATCATCTCACGTCTTAGCTTGAGATCTTTCCCACAGACGGCGCCACTTGATTTGCTCCAAAATGGTCGAGACGATGACGTGGGATCCTTCCGCTAGAGGGGTACCTGCAACGCCGGGAGGGGTTTCCCGGCGTAGAAGCTCCGACGATCAAGTCAGTTTTTATCGAGAGATAATCGAGTGTGATATGTAAGAGAGAGCATAGAAGTGATAAGTTGAGAGTAACTCCCTATTTATAGGTGAGGATACTTGATGGGCAAGAAATAAGCAAACTTGCCCTAACTCCTCTTCTTGGGCCTGATATGATTTTGGGCCAAATACAAGTGAAAACTCAATCCACGGCCCAATAAATGATTAGGAAACCCCATGAGGACAATTTGGTCCGTATCATAAACATACACAGGAATAAAATCAGAGAAAGGGGAAGAGAACAATCTGATTAAATAGAAGAAGAACCTTTCGTTGGCACTTCCAAAAATATCATCCCATAAATGATAAAGAGAAGTGAAATGGCGACGGAATGAGTTACATAAAAAATAAAAAATAAAAATAAAAAGAAAAGAAAAAAAAAGCAAAAAGGGAGAATCCAATATGACGTAAGCGCTTGAGTGTGTGTGGGTAGGTGAAGCATTGCAAGAGAACGGAAAATAAAGAAAAATTAAAATGCATTTACGCTTTGCGTTGGAGATTTTCACCAAAAACGACGTCGTTTTTTGTTCGCTTTTGTTTGATAAAAAATCGAAATGTTTAATAATATAAAAAACATTAAATGCAATAAAAAGATGATAATTATTTTATTGAGAAGAAATATTGTAGATCTTATTCTAGGGAGATATATGTAAAAAACGATTATATATATATATATATATATATATATATATATATATATATATATATATATATGATACGTGTGAAATTAAAATTGGTGTTGATTTGTTAAATGTCATACCTATAGTTTGATTGGTAATTACTACATATATACAAATTAATATTATATATAAAGTTACTAATTATAGTAAATGACATCTTATATAAAAAAGAAAGAAACGCTGGGCAACCCTAAAAATCCCTGATGGTATTTCTGTAATTATTTATTTTAAAAAATTTTTCTCTACTAATTTCTAACTTAAATTTTAACAATTATCAGAATTAAAACTAACCCATGAAGAATCCTACTTATTGGTAGTTATGTTATTATTTATTTTAATATTTTTTCTCTACTAATTTTTTAACTACCTAATGGTATTTCTGTAATTATTTATTTTAAATTTTTTTTCTCTACTAATTTCTAAGTTAAATTTTAACAATTATCAAAATTAAAACTAACGCATGAAGAATCCTGCTTATTGGTACTTATGTTATTATTTATTTTTAATATTTTTTCTCTACTAATTTTTTAACTATAATTTTCAACAATTATTAATCTCCTATTTTTCACCAATATATCTCAAATCTTAAGAGATAAAGTAATTCGATTTGTTAAATCTTAGCCTATTTATTTGCATTATAACATCTCGAGCCATTGTCCATACCTTCAGCATCATCAATATTGAGATTCTCTTGAATTGCAAAGGGTTGGTACATACATACACATATTAAATAACCAATCACATGAATCACACCTCCATGTGGATCCATTGGCAGGAATACATCCTTTCATGTATAAAAGCTTCACTGCATAAACCACAACAAAATAAAGATTTGAAATATTCCATTTCAGTCATCCCACATACAATGCAAGATCCAGAGCGTTGAACGGCTTTGATTGATTCCCTACATGCGACTCACATACATTGATCGAAATTAGGGTCAGAATACGCATTGTAAAGAACACATAGTTTGGACTGAGCGCAAACAACTGTTTTGATCGCCATAAAGTACGAACGACTTTGTATAATAAACTGCATGAAAAAAATTAAAAAATTATATTAAAATTAACAACCCAAAAGAAAGAACGACAAATAATACTCATATGTATATATAAAAATAATTGTGAATATAAAAATATGCATATTAATTATAAAAATATATAAGAAAGGATAAAAATGTAATATGAAACTGTATAATACGAACATTATGCACTTTGTAATGGAGTGGTGGTAGATAAAAATGAAATTAATGTGGAGTGATTTAAATAGTATTGAGCATGAACTTTATTTTATGGAAAAAATAAAAATACAAAAGATTTATATATTAGTAAATGAAATCAAATCAAACAAATAAAGGAAACAACCCAAAAAAATAAGATAATAACTTCTACGAAACAATCTTGCAATATAAAATAACTATAAAGATGATTAATTTTGCAATTCAGTTAAATACGGTATTGGAAATCTTGCAATTCTTTTTTGAAAGAGAGCATTTATTATTTAGATAATGTGTGCTAAATCAGGGGGAAGTGTTAAACCCTCGAGCACATTATCACATGAAAGTTTAGCAATAGCGTGGGCTAAACAATTACCCGAACGCTTTACAAAACGTACCGAACAACAATGAAAATATTGAGATATTCTTCGGCAATCTTCCACAATAGCTCCGAAAGATTCAGTCGCACTATCTCCATCACGAAGTGCTTTGATGAGTTGCAGACAATCTCCTTCGAGAATAATATTGGTCCAGCCTTTACCTTTTGCCATAGACACCGCTTTGAGACCCTTCAACGGGTCGAAAATTGCCTCTGATTTTGACCACCTTCCAACCAACACATTGGCCAATGTCGTCTCTTGCTACCGCTGCCACAGAGATCCATTGTTGTCCCGGGAGAAGCGATGCGTCAAAATTCACCTTGATCACGCCATGCGATGGAGGAATCCATTCACTAGGGTGAGGAGGTTGCGTGCGTGAATCCGGTCGGAGTTGTGCAGACTTGAAAAAACGAAGGAAATCCTTGCACTAGTTTACCAAATCATTCATATGTTCAGTATCTTCCCCTTTAACCTCCTTGTTTCGACGATCCCATGCCTTCCACGCCACCACCATTGCCGTAAGGAATTCATCTTCTCCCAACAATCTTTGTAGATCCATAACCCAGGTCCAAGCAGAGGAGGTGTTAACGAATTGGAGACCATCAAAAGGGGATTGATTCCAAATCGCTTCCATTCCTCTACATTTGAGCATAACATGAAGCACCGATTCCTCCTCCCTATTGCAGCGACAACATATTGGTGAGGCCACAATCTTTCGCCTAAATAACTCAACATTTGTGGGTAAAATATTCCGGCACATCCGCCAAATAAATAACCGAATTTTTGGTGGAATAGGAAAACCCCATATCTCTTTCCAATTGCCACTATCTGTCGCCCTGCTAGATCCACCCATTCCATGCCCTTCATTTGCAGAAATTGAGAGGTGAGGGAAGACCATGTGGTAACACGATCGAACCGAAAATTTTCCATTTTTAGAGCAATTCCAAACCCAAACATTTTGTGCAGCTTCGCTGCCTACCGGAACAGCCAATATTCTTTCTATATCCACCGGCCAGAAAATCTCATTCATAAGCTCCAAATTCCATGCATTGGTTTGTGTGTCCACAATGTCCGAGACCCTATCTGGAAATGGTGAGTTAATCGGACGTTTGGTGAAGATCTTTAAATTTCCTCCCTCCCGAAGCCACGGATCAGCCCACAGAGATGTATTATGACCATTCCCTATTCGTCTACGAAGGCCCATTTTTAAGAAAGGGATCACTCTCCAAATACTTCTCCAGGTTGTAGATGGACGACCACCAATATCCGCGTTAAATAAATTACCGTGGGGGAAGTACATGGCAGTGATGATTTTTGACAACAACAGCTCGGGCTATGTGAAAATCCTCCATGCTTGTTTAACGAGCAGTGAAATATTAAAAGATTTCAAATCCCGAAAGCCAAGTCCGCCCGATCTCTTAGCTTTGCACATCTAACTCCAAGAAAGCCAGGCCATACCCTTATTCGCCCCATTTCCCCACCACAAACGTCGAATAGCAGCTTCAATTTCCTTTATCAGACAAGCCGGAAGAAGAAAACAGCTCATCACATATGACGGGATCGCCTGTAAAACTGCTTTAATCAGAACTTCCTTACCCGCTTTAGAGAGTTGTTTCTCCCCCCATCCTTTGATCTTTGACCAAACTCGATCTCGCAGATAGGCAAAAATATTCTTTTTAGCATTTCCAATAGTAGCCGGCAACCCCAAATATTTCTCATGACGGTCAACAATATGGAAACCGAGAATCTGGTGAATGTTGTTTCTCCGCGTTGGAGGAGTAGACGGACTAAACATCATCGTGGATTTCTCATGGTTGATTTCCTGCCCGGACACCCTCACATACTTATCTAAAATGTCTTTCAGCACGCATGCATATGCCTCAGTAGCTTTGCCGAAAATGAGAGTATCATCGGCAAAGCATAAACTAGACACCGTCGGAGCTGTCGGCGCCACACGAACGCCTTGGAAATCTCCCCGTGCCGTTGCTGCTGAAATCATCGCAATGAGTGCCTCAACACAACATATGAATAAGTACGGTGAGAGAGGGTCCCCCTGTCGAAGGCCTCTCGAGGGTAACACTTGGCCAAACTGCATACCATTGAATAAGAACGAGAATGAGACTGTAGAGACACACAACATATAAGCTCAATAAAATCGGACGGAATGCCAAAACGAGAAAAAATCTTATTCAAAAATAGCCATTCTATTCGATCGTATGCCTTGCTAATGTCCAGTTTAATAGCCATGTAATTTGTTTTAACATTAGAGTTCAACTTAATAAAATGATTGATCTCGAAAGCCACAAGAGTATTATCAGAAATTAAACGCTTAGGAACAAAGGCAGACTGAGTAGGAGAGATCAAATCATGTAATACTAATTTCAAACGATTGGCTAACACTTTAGACCCGAATTTATAAATAACATTGCAAAGGCTAATCGGTCTATAGTCTGTAATTTTTTCCGGATTCTTCACCTTTGGAATTAAAACAATAAAGGTGAAATTTAGATCAGAAGGGAGTTTACGAGAATTCAAAAATTCAAGCACACATGAAACAACATCGGACCCTAGCAAATTCCAATATTTAGTAAAGAAAACAACAGGTAACCCATCAGGGCCCGGAGATTTAAGAGGAGCCATTTGAGAAATAGCTCAGGTTACCTCATCCGAAGTGAAAGGTGTGGAAAGAAGTTGACTAGCTACTCCGGTGATTCTGGTCTCAATACTTGCCAACACCTCATCTATCTCTTCTCCGCTCAGATTCGTAGACTTGAAAACATGTTCGAAATAGTCACTAATAATTTTCTCAATATCTTCAGGTTTTTCCTGCCAAATACCCTCCGCATTTTTAATACGGTCTACCCTGTTTATACGGTCACGGATAGTTGCCTTGGAATGAAAAAAATTCGTATTTCTGTCTCCCTCTTGAATCCACTACACACGACTACGTTGGCGCCAATACAAATCTTCATCCTCGTACGCCCGTTCGAGCTCAGCCCTTAGCACCCGTATCTCATGTCTACTACCTTCTATTAGGTTGGCCATATTGAGATTTTGAATCCGTTTGTGGAGAGTCTCAATCATCTTCCTCGGCTGTTTGACAGTCAACTTACTCCACTGGATAAGAGCAAGCCGACAATCGTTATTTTTCTGGATTAATGCCTCCATGGGATCTGCATCAATATTTTTTGTCCATTGTTGTTCAATAATTTGCTCGCAATCATCTCGTCGGAGCCATGTGGCTTTGAATCTAAAAGGTCTCTTCCTCCTCGAATTACAAGTAGAAACTGGAATGCTGAAAATTAATTTGATAGGAATATGGTCTGACCCCGCGTAGCTCAGGTGTTGAACACGGGCATTAGGGAACCTTGTAAGCCATTCGTTACTCGCACAAACCCTATCCAATCTGCACCGCACCGTGCATGGATCAGTCCTATTGTTTGACCAGGTGAACGGTATGCCTTCGTACCCCATATCAATCAAACCACACTCGTCTAAAGCCTCTCGAAACATCTCAATACGTGATGGTAGTCTTTGCGGTCCCCCCGTCTTCTCTGCATTACTGAGTATCTCATTGAAATCACCCCCTATCAGCCATGGCAGGTCCCGGCGTTGACCTAAGTTGCGAAGCAGATTCCAAGACAGCTGTCGTCGACTATGCTCTGGAAATCCATAAAAACCCGTTACTCTCCATTTGCTATTATGGTTAACTCCGCTAACCTCCGCATCAATATGGTTATTAGAGTAACTGATAAGATCGACGGCTAAATCTTTTTGCCAAAATAATGCTAAACCTCTCGATTGTCCCACTTTCTCAACGCATAAACCGTTGAGATTCCATCGTCGTTTCAATTTCTCTATGAGTTGAAGTGTCGCCCTCGTTTCTGAGAGAAACACAAGTCGGGGCTGATGATCTCGGATAATGTCTCCGAGCACATGAATTGTCAGGGGCGCCCCGAGCCCTTGACAATTCCAAAATATGCAATTCATTGATCTCGGTGGGACTGCAACGCAGTCTCCGCCGTTGAGATAAGGTCATCATCACGTAACCACAACATTTGTTTCTTGCCTGCCGACTCTCCGTCCATGATCCCCACTTCCTCCGCCTTTTTCTTTCTTCCCTTAGTCGAAATTTTGAGTTGCCGCCTGTTAGAATTTCCTGTACTGCCACTAGCTTGAAATTGAACTGTATGATCAACCAAGGTAGAGTCATCTGCGTCGACGACTAAGTGATTCTCCTTGTCCGCCGTACAAATCACTGGTGTGGAATTTTTTTCCTTATGAGCCGTAAAATCAAAACAATTCTTTCCTCTATAAGGTGGTCGTGGTGTGCCAGCATCACCAAAGCCATCTGTCCTATTCACTTGTTGGAAAGGTTGCCTAGCATTGCCACCATCCAAGGGGTTTGTTGCGCGTAACCAGGTCCCGTAAGGTAGATTCTCTCCAGGGTCCACAAATGAATTTTCATCGCGGGCTGGGCATCGAAATTCAGCATGACCAATCCTTCCACAGAGGAAGCAGAAGTTAGGCAACCGCTCGTAAGAGAAACCGATCCAGATTTTGGAACCATCAGGAGAGTGCACATTCATTCCTCGCTTGAGACTGTGATTGACATCAACACGGACTTTAACACGCATGAATGGGGTAAAATCTATCTTTTTGGAATTTAGAACCTCAATAAAAACCCCCATCTTACTGCATATTTGCTCTGCCAACTGTGTTGTTCTCATAGAGACAGGGAGATTATGAATTCTTGCCACAATGGTCATCATGTGAATCTCAATGGAGGCGGGGTCCACAGCAACGTCAAAGTCTTCGAAGAGAAGGGCATTTTTTTCTAATAGCCACGGGCAACCAGATCTAACATGGAGATAGTCGAGACGATGTTCAAACCTGATAACAAACTTATTTGGGCTCAACACATTGATCTCACAAGCCTTTACAGGTTGGATGATTCTTATCACATTCGATTTGATAGTGTACGCTGACATCTCTCTCGAGGTAACTACTCGACCAATCAATTGGTAACCCTGGTCCAAAACCCTATATTCCGTTAGGGGTGCAGAGATCGATATTCCTTCTTCTTCATCGGCAGTGAGAGAGAGCCTTTTCGCCATGGTTTCCGATAAACCATCCATATTCAGAGAAGGAGATAGATAAGGTGTCATTAGCAAAGAGGTGAAAGCCGGAGAAGCCACCAACTATAGATCTGGGTGGAAATAATGGGCAGGGAAAAGAAAGAGTTAGCAATGCGATAGATAAACAAAACAAAGGAAAACGAGAAATACGGAGATTAACGAAAAACCCTAAGATTGACCCTAAAATAAAACTCAGAACATGACACTAAAACTAAACAAGACAAGGGCACACGATCCAATGGTCAGGATTCTGAATAAACAAGCAAAACATTCCGTCCGATAAAGATTGAGAACAAGGGATAGCCGATCCAATAAAATAAAAGGCCTCTCAAGTCAGAGAGAAGACGCCTCTCATTCAGAGAGAAAATGATTAATAGAAATTAATTATATATAAAGACTTAATTGTACTATCATGCTAATTCTATTCACTACTAGAAAACTGCAGTTTAGCAACGGTCATTAGCGATGGATAATAGATCCGTCTCTAATAGGTAGATTTAGCAACATAATTAGCGACGGAACAATAAATCGTAGCTTTAAATATAAACCATCGGCTATAGTAACGTGAATTAGCGACGGATGAAAAATCACATTTAGCTACAGAGGTTGCAATGGACAACAACTCTGTTGCTAATAAAAATATTTAGAGTTGCAAATTGCAATACCCGTTGTTAATTATTATAAATTAAGTAATGAATATTTTTTTATTAATTTTTAGTTTTCACTTTACAATTTCTCCAACTCTCTCACTTTCCCTACTTCGCTTCAGCCCCTCCGCTGCCATCGTTCTTTTAATCCAACCTCGACCACCCATCCTCCTCCGTTCGTTCTTTGTCTATTGTCGCCTCCGATTGTTGGGAAAAGTAAAAAATGCAAAGGTCCCAAAAATTCCAAATTGCTGCTCCTTCCCTTTTAGGTTTTCAATCCCCCACTACTCACCGCCGCAGCGTCGTCTTCAACTAGATCTGCCTATTCACATATGAAATTAAACTGGCAGTAGAATGAAACCAGGTAAATCATTGTAATTTCATTATTTACGAATAGGTTTATGTCTTTGTTTAATATTTTATTTGATAAAAACCCTAATATAGGAATGGGTATTTTGGTTGTTCTTAACAGTCACTCATTTCCATTCACAGTATGCCATAATACAAGACTATAGAAATAGTGTGATTGTGTCAAGGAAGGCCCAAGAGAAATACAAGCCCACCCAACCCAATCTCTCTATTGAATCGCCGGCGCGCACAGATTGCTCTCGCAATTCGCCGCCGCCCTGCACCGAAACTTAAAATTAGTATGGTTCCTTTGAATTGATTACAGTGAGTCAACTCAGGTTCAGAATAAATAGGTATAAAAAAGGAGAAATGACGAGCTATCTGTGGAGGAAATACGCTGACTATGTGTACACGAAATGGGAGAGGACGATTCTCTGGGATATGATTGATCCATACCGGCGGCCCAAATCGTTCACTCCGTTAGTCACCATCTACATCTGTGCTTTTTATACCGGTGTTGTAGGCGCTGCAATCACCGAGCAGTTCCACAAGGTAAAACCTAACCACTTGTTTCTCCGACCTTTTTTTCAGATTCAAAATGAATTTTGCTTGGCACTATTAATTTGCTCTATTTATTTTCTTATGATATTGAAATCTTTTTGGCACTATTAATGATTTTTTTTATAACTGCAAGTATTAGATTGGTATGCCTCTAGTCCTAGGTCTTTTAGGTGGTGAAATATTCGGGCGGTAAAATAGAACAAAACCCGAGTTCTGGGCATCGAATTGTAAAATTGAATTCCTACGGTTCGTGTTTGCTGATTTTGAATTCGATTGAAATCTACGATACTAATTTTGACAAAGAACCACACGTGTTGTCGATGTGTCTGTCTGTCTCTATGCTCTTTGCATTATAACTTCAGTTGCATTATATCTCATATATATATATATATATATATATATATATATATATATATATATATATATATATATATATATATATATATATATATATATATATATATATATATATACATATATATATATATATCTATATTGATATATATATATATATATGTGGTGTGTGTATATATATATACATACACACACATCTGCATATACATATATATATAGAGACCGATCTCTATATATGTATCCACACCTCTATAGATATATATAT